CTCAAATTCGCTGTTTATTATTTTGCTTGCAAAATGTGTTTTTTAATTGTGTTCTTGCTAAAACTTTTCTTTTGTATGTATAAATTATGATAATAATAATAATAATTATATTATGTATACGCCACGCGGCGCAGTCGGGCAGCTAAAACATATATGCACGCCTCCTTTGGGGGCTGCAGCAAAGTCCTCATAGCTGCCGCGACCCAGCCAATGCGGCGTATTGTTACGCGTATTTAGTGTGTACTGCAATAATCCTCCTCCTCCCTCCCTCCCTCCCCGGAACCCTCCTCACGCAACCCTCCTCCCGCAACCCTCCACCCGCAACTGAGCCAGAGCAATAAAAAGTAAACATTTGATATTTATTGCTTAACTCGATTCTCAGCACACTCAACGATCCTCCAGCTAATTTCTAGAAACTAAGAGCTAAGCATATGCATACGCATACATACTTGATGCACTGTAATATGACAAATGTAACGAAAATATCGAAACGCATGCGAGTTAGGGTATATATGCCCTGCTTGGAGGTGCTTGGAGGCCTTTTGGTTGTGTTTATGGAACAGAAGCAATCGTCAGTCTAATGTTATGCATTAGGACGTGTCGAATATGCACCTGCCCCGCGAGCAGCATACATAGAACTGTAGAACAGTGATGGCCAGAAAAAGTGGCTTACATTGTAAATTGAGCTTTATTTTGTAGAGAACGTTTTACACGTTTTATTCTATTCAATAAAATTTAAAGCATATTAGTAATTACATTTAATAAATGTAAATTATGTGCAGTTTTTTTTTAATGTGAAATAATTGATTGATTGAGTTGGTTTCAAGCTTAAGGCCTTATTTGCTATGGCTTCATTTAGTTGGACATAATTTATAATTATTTTTAGCTCGTTTATAAATAAATAATTTATCGGGTTTCGAAGAGGAAATCAAAATTGATCAAAGTATGATTTATAGAAACATAGAAAAGAGCTTTGCAAAATATGTTTAAATCATTTTAAGAGCATTTAAAAATTAACACGAAATTTAACAGTTTTCTTTGAAAATTGTATAAATAAAATTAAGTTTGTCGTGTTCATCATAAGTCGCAATAGTATTTTAATCAAGCGATTTATACAAATATTTATTTTGATTTTGCTCAAATATACATATATTTTCAATTTCCGATTGTATTCAGTTAATAACTCAGGAACTGTAAAAGAAGCTTGTCAGAAGCTTGACTGGCACACTGACCGCGACACTTTTTCTGGCCAGCAGTGTAGTCGTTATATGATTGAATTACATTGTCATGCATACAACAAAACGATTTACCGACGACACACACACACACACAATGTGTGTGTGTATATAAATATTTTATCTATGTTAAATTATGCAAATTGTATTACCTAGCCTAGCCATGTAATGTCGGATAATGTCGAATTTGGCTCCAGGAATCCGAGAGGAATAGTTGCATAAGAATGTGTTGCTAATACTTAGTTGTTATCTGTCTACACACACACACACACACACACACACACACACACACACACACACACACATACTTATGTTTATCTATACCTTAGTTTGCACATTTTCAATGCAAACACAAAACTGATAATTATATTTTAAAGAAATCACCAGAAACGCATTTTGATTGGGACTTACCTACATATGTATATAAAAGCCAGAGCCAATTGCTTGGAGCTCAGGCAGAATGTGGTTTCTATTGCTGGGCTTGGTGGCCATTGTCGGTGCTCGGGGCACGGACTATTTCGAGAACTACTACAACGAGATCGACATCGATGACGAGCAGGCGGAGATCAAGACCCGGAATGCGATGCGTTCGCCTCGCCAGCTGTGGCCCAGCCGGAGGCTTTACTATCGCATAGCCGGCGACTTGAGTCCGGAGGAGGCGGACAATGTGCGCATCGCGGTGGCTACCTTCAATGAGCGGACGTGCCTGCGGTTCGAGGAAGTGTCCGGATCGGCTCCGGCGGGCAGTCGCTATGTCTACTACAAGAAGTCGCCCAAATTGTGCGGCACCCGGATCGGGTATAATCCCATTCCGATTTTGGGCTCCGGCTCGCATGATGTGCAGCTCTCGCCGAAATGTTTGACCAAGCCGGGCATTATACAGCACGAGACACTTCATGTGCTGGGCCTGTACCACGAGCAGAGTCGTCCGGATCGCGACGAGCACGTCGTGGTCGAGTACGACAATATTCCACGCAAGTACTGGCCACAGTTTATGGCCACCTCGGAGTCCACGACAACCACCTACGATGTGCCCTACGACTTTGAGAGCGTCATGCACTATCCGAAGAACGCCTTTGCCAAGGATCCCAGCCAGCCGACAATGCGTGCCCTCATCGATGGAAATCCCGTCGAGCGGGAGATGGGACAGACGCGTGGTCCATCCGAGGGGGATCTATTCAAAATACGCAAGATGTACAAATGCGAAGAGTCCATGTGAAATGTTGTGTCCGGAAGAGATTTGGTTGGCAATAAAACAGATGCGCGCTTCAATCTATTCAATTCATAAAATCATTGCACAGATATATTCCTGAAAATAAGGTTTAACTTTCATTTGTTGGGCTCAGGTTATGTGGAAACTCGACTTACTACTAAGTCGAAAGAAAAAAAGTCCTTTCGTCTGAATGAAGTTACGACTCTTTTAGGATTTTTTAATGAGGATACATATTAATTATCTGAGACAAGAAGGGCTATAACTTCGGCACTTGCCCGTGGCACGTATGTTATAATACCCTTACAGCTCCGAAAACGCTTTTCAAATTGATCGGACGGGAATCATAATAGCTTTTATGCAAACCGTATAACTAATAAGAAGTCACCAGGGAAATAATTAAAAAGCATTTTCGCCGAAGTAGTTTAGATTTTGCAAGATATCTTGAAATACGTCACTATTTTTAATACAGATCTTTGGAATAAATTTGGACACGAATTGTCATCCACCAATCTTCGAACGCTATATGTTACTAAGTAGGTCTGGATGTTTCAAATAAGATTTTGAAACAAATGTCAGGTGAACATGAGATTTGAAAATCTTACAAATAGCGAGTTTGGTGCAAGATATCTTGAAAAACAAAAAAGTTTTCCATACAACCGTTTTCCGCCAATTTATCACTGTTGCGAGCCGATCGTTCCTAATCGGCAGCTATGCGATATTCAGTGAGTCCGATGTTAATGGGATTTAGCAAATAAGTATGAGGCAGCATAGTACACAACTAATAAATGCCGAATTTGGTCAAGATATCTTGAAAAACAAAAAAGTTTTCCATACAACAATTGAATCACTTTCGACCGATCGTTCCTATGGCAGCCGTGCGATATAGTGGTCCGATGTTGATAGGATTTTGCATACATATGAGGAGCATCGGTAAAACAAATAAATGACCGAAATTTGGTCAAGATCGATCGTATGATAAACAAAAAAGTTTTCCATACAACAACTTCACTTTCGACCGATCGTTCCTACTGGCAGATATATAATATAGTGGTCCGATCTCAGCTGGCTCCGACATATGTGCCGAGTGCTACAGAAACAGGCACTTCTGCAAAGTTTCATGACGATAGCCTTAAAACTGCAGAGATCTAGTTCAGCATTAAAATTGACAGACTGGACATTGCCTATAGCGACTCGGCTGTTGATACTGATCAAGAATATATATACTTTATGGGTTCGAAGATATCTCCTTCTATGTCAAAATTATAATACCCTCTGCAAGGGTATAAAAAGACGAGCAATCCGTGTTTTAAATAAGCTGGATAATTCAAGTATGAGCCCCAGGCTAATGCCAGGATGTTGTGATGTCCTTTAGTGGACAGAGTTTAATTGAATCCCATCTAAGAACAATAATAATAAAGCACAGTCAGTTTTAATAAGTAATTTCTGGTTTCAGATTTCGGTACAGGGTAGATCCTAGTCGATTACTATTGATATCCTTGTAACCTTATTTTAAGATCCCAAAAGTCTATATCTTCCACCATTTTAGAGTAGATAATCTAATATCTGCTTCAGTTTAGGTAACTATATATGAAATCGAAATCGAAATAGTCCTGCATATATATGTATTTAAAGGCACTTTTGGATATACATATTTATATTTTAAGCCGATATTGATGAACGTTTACCAACACTTGGCATAGAACAGATTAGCTGTAGATATCATTAGATAGAGAAAGAAAGAAAGAATCGAATGCGAAAGAAAACGGTTCTTTCGCAAGTTGCATCAAGATATATCTATATGAAACGGACATATCTAAAATTAAACGGATATTTATGCTTAGTATATAGTACAACTATTTCGAGTTCGAAAAATTAAGTAGCGCTACCACAAATATTAAATAGGCCTTCATAATGGACAGCTTACTGCTGTTGAAACCTTCTTTTTTATTTTTGTGCAAATGTCAAAGTCAGTTAACAGAATAGAAATTGGGCTGCGGACTATCGGCGGGAAGTGTGAGCTTTGGTTTGATCTGGGCAGACAGCCAAGGAAATTAATGTGCCCTAAGTGCTTAGCTAGTGTGAGTGCCAAGTGTCTCTTTCGGCCTAAAGGTGTGAGTGTGTGCGTGAGAGTGTGTGTGCGTGTGTGTGGGTTGAAGTGCAAACATTTCTCTCTGCCTGCACTTGCAATTGAAGTGAAATTAATTCATTTGCAACTGGGACCTAATTTTTTTGTTCGATTCAACGCTGACCATAACTTTGGTCTTAAGAGCATTTGCATATGAAATGTGCGCCGGCATGGCTTAAGAGAGTGCTCACAATGGAAGGTGCGAAAGTTCGAAAGAGCGCACTGGAAGTGTGAAGCACACTTGTTGTCTAAACTTTGCACCACTGTGCTGCCTGCCGAACGGCAAAAGCTCGCTCTCAATTGTGCGCTCTCCTTAGCGCCTTTGGCTTTGCCGACGCGTCCGCTGTCGGGCTCGTCGTGCCTTGGCCGTCGCTCGTTTGTTGTGGTGTGTTCGAGTGCTTGTTTCAGTATATTTAGTGCAGTCGTGTCGTTCGGTCGTTCTAACGGTAGTATCCAGCCAGCCGCATAGCTTTGGCCCAGTGTAAAGACAATTCACCCACACATATACAGCCACACAAACAGCCAGCTCTCATACATATGCACGTGCTGTGTGTGTGTGTGCTTTAGGTGCGACAACGAGCTGAAAGTAAAAGTTATTCAATGTGCAATGGTAAATAAATAATTAAGCTAACATAGCAGTCAAGTAATTGAAGCAAAAAATTAAGAAAGAGAGAGAGAGAGAGCGAGAGAGAACGCGACTACAAATAAATATGCAACACTAAAGTGCTTCAAGAATTGTGCGTACAGTGTTCGATAACATCAAGAAAATGCTTAATGATTTCCGTTAATCTTGTGCCGCCGAAAAAAGTGTTAAATTAACAGTTTTGCAAACGCTTTAAGTTAAGACACAACATCTCTGTGCACAGTGGGAACAGATTTCATCAAAATTCGACACACTTTACGCACGTGGGCGTGTGGCCAGCCAAGGACAGCCAAGCAAAAAATATGTTGTTTTTGATCATGAAGGCCGCAACAAAAACAACCTAGGCCCCTTTTTTCGGTTGCCAGGTTTAGATTAAAGTGCTTTTTTTTTTGTAAATACCCTTACCCCAGCTCAGAAACAGTTGCAATAAATTGAGCTTGGCAATGTTATCCGAATGTCCTTAAAGTAATTCTCAATTAAAATATACTTATTTAAAGTGTCGGAATAATAGGAGAAAAATTGCACCAAAAACCAATTTTTCAAGCAAATTAAAGTGTTGGACATCGTTTGAATAAATTAACTTATTATTTATAAGAGAAAACGCAGTAAATTAGCAAATTTTGGATTAACTTTCCGGGCTGTTTGGCGGACCTAACTGGGGCCTAAGCTGACACATAAATTAACGGCAAAAACAAAACCGTAACGATTTGCATTTCTAATAAAAATCGCTTGCCCGGCTGGCAACCCCGGGACCGCAGACAGGCCCGCAAAGGAAAACATTAAATGCACGAAGGGTTGCCAGATCTGGCACATGTGTAAGCTTTGCGAGCTGTGGAAAAACCGCTGAGCAAAAAAAAAAAAAAGGATAAAGAAATTATTTTTACGCCGCATTTTATGCTACGGTTTTCCTTTGACTGGCCAAGGGCGCAAAAGCCCATTCCCTGTCCGTGAAACCTTTGGTTTGATTTTTCAGTGTGATTTTAAAGCATTTTGAAAGGCGAACAAAGTTTAACATTATGTTTAACAATTGAAATAGGAAATTCAACTAAACCGCGACAATTACAACAACATTAGCCACGCACAGGTGTAACATTCGCAACTATAAAAAGGTAAATTCCATTTAATATTTAAGCTAATTAGCTGATAATATCGTATTTTATCGTCTGGATTATACAGATAATCGTCAAATGCCGTAAGTAATACCTAGTAAAAAGAGGAAGAAGAACACAAACTGGGCATACTTTAAGGGCGGAAAGGGGGGCTTATTTTGATGGCAGACACGTGGCCCATAATTCTGGTTTACTTAACTTAGTTTGCGGTTTATTTGATGATGACACACAGCGGTTGGTCAATGGGGGAGGGGATGACCGTGACGGTGGGCGGGAGGGGGAGAGAAAACTGGAGTAACTTTATTAAGCATGGGTCAGTTTAAGTTTGAGACGAAATAATCAATTTATTTGCGGTAAGTCGATGACTGAACACCTTTGCACACATATTCAATTAATTAATTAGTTGATTTAATTGATTCTACTTTGTGAGAGAAAATGTTCTTGAGGAACTCTTCAGATTTGGTAGCAGTCTGATATAACAGTCCGAATCTGATAAGAATGGGAGAAAGTATAAATAAAATAGTGAGTTTTTTAATTAGGAAAGAGTTTTCATGCTTAGAACATTTATTTATGTCTCTTTAAATCTCAATACAAGCTAGTAGAGTATTCTGATGTGAACAACTTGAGGAAGGAAATAAGCTAAACTTTAAATAGACATTTAATTTTAAACAGTTGGAAATGACAATAAGCTAATATAAGCTAAGCTCTCTTTAACTTATCAGTATATATATGAGGTCGATCATGTCTGCTTTGAACGGTTGCAGATTTATTAAGAAATTTGAAAGAAAGAGAAAGAAAGAAATTCGAAAGCGATTTTTACTAGAAAGGAGTGGATTAAGGGGTATTTTGACTGACTTATTAAGCACACGGTTAGATAACTGATACAAATTTTATACACTCTTCCCGATAACAGAGCAAAGAATAATATTAAGAATAACAAAGCAAAAGAGCAGAAAGCATCTCCGACCTCATAAACTTTATATATTTTTGATCAGCAGCAATAGCCGAGTCGATCTAGCCATTTGTTTGTCCGCCAGTCCGTCCGCCCATCTGTCCGTTCGTCCGCCTGTTCGTGTGTATGAACGCGTTGATCTCAAAACCTTTTAGAGCTGGAGATGGAAATTTTGAACGTAGTCGATAACTTGCCACGATTGATAGTAATCGAACTAAAATCGATATCGCCATGCAGTTTTTTGAGTTAATCTCTTAGGTTTTAAGAGCTAGAGTCACAAAATTAGCTTCTAGATTAGTACATATATCAAATATCTTTCATTTTGTAGCTATCGCTCCCTTAACCGCCTCAGCCCCATAGCTTTAAATCAAATAAATAAATCAATTGGAACTACTCACAAATTTAAGCAAAAATTTCAATGAAATTATCTGTTACAGATGAATATTCTATTATATATCACAATAATATATACTGCTGAATATTTGATCAAGATCGGAACTTATTTTTGTAAACATATTTTTATTAATGTTAGGGCAAACATGCGCTTTGCGCGATCTTCATTTGGTATTGGTAGAAAAAGGTTCAGAGTATCTCCTATTCGCGCACGCCCGACTAGAGTCCTCTTACTCGTTTAAAAGTTTCGAATATGTATTAGATGAATGTTCACAAAGGGACTCTGAAAATGAAATGTGGATCTTGCGGCTAGAATTGCCCAAAGTTCGTCTTAGCGCCTTCATCAGGTAACTAACTCATGAGCCAACTACAGTAGAAATTTCAGCTTCCTTAACTCTTAAGGTCTCAATCAGTCAGTCGGTCAGTCAGTCAGTCAATCAGTCAGGACAAATAGTTGTATGTATAGAAATATGTTATAAGTAAATCTGATATGTATAATAAAACTGTTAACGTTATTAATAAACTTCTGACTTATACAAAACTTACTTTGAATACCTTCACAACAGACATGTTTATATTTTGCTGAAGCTTAAAATGAAACTTTTCGAAAATCTGCCTGAGCCAAAACTTAGCAAGGTTGTGTTCAGCGTGCACTGAAATTTTTATTCGAATTTTTCATAAATAAAAATGTCCATTTTCGATGCATTTGAAGCCTTTTTTAATCTTTGAATATTTTCGCTTTCCATGTTATTTAAAAAAGCAAGCCAGAGCAAGGCTGGTATGAAATTGTGTACAAAAAAATAAGTCCATAAATAAAGCTTAATATAATCTTCTGGCCTTTGCACACAATACACAATTACGTAATATCTGGCAGATAGACAAAGGTTTCACGTATCCGTTCTCAGCTTTAACATTGACACCAAAACCGTTTTCTGAACTCTGCCCGAAAATGGAATAAATTGCGGAATTTGTAAATTTCCATTTCGGTTTTAAGCTTATTTGTTGCATCAGAGATTATCTGTGAATGAATATAAATATATATATATATATTTGCATATAGCTTGGGTTGGTCATTTCAAATCATCTGTATAATGTTTCGTTTTATTTTTTTGCAAAGGATTAACCGTTTTTGCCTGGCGAGAAATCGTTTTTCTTTTTTCATTTATTGCAATTATTCAAATTGGGTTTTTGTCTTTTCATTTATATTTTCAGAATATTTTTATACCCTGAACCCATTGAGTAAAAGGGGTATAATGTATTTGTGCATCTCCGACCCCATAAAGTATATATATTCTTGATCAGCATCAATAGCCGAGTCGATCTAGCCATGTCCGTCTGTTTGTCCGTCCGTCCGTATGTATGAACGCAAGGATCTCATAACCTATAAGAGCTAGAGACTTGAAATTTTGGTCGTAGGTCATCCTACTGCTCGCTTAGATCGAGTTTGATACCGATATTCGATAGCTTGCCCCGTTTCCAAGTAATCGATATCGATATCGATATCGATATCGAAATCCTGTTTTTTGAGCAATTTTGGTAAATAATAAGAGCTAAAATCATCAAACTTGATATGTAGCTTCTGGAATAGTATATACATATATATCAAGTATCTTTCATTTTATGCCTATCGCCTGTCGGAAGAAGAGGGTTCAGGATATCCGCTAGTCGGGAGCTCCCGACTAGAAACTCTTACTTGTTACAATATATTTTGTTGCGCCCATTTTGAATATTATTACAAATAATACGCGCATTGACAACAAATAGCGCAACGTGCAGAGCAAACAAATAAAAGCACGTATTGTATTTTGTGTGTGGGGCCAATAAAAAAGTGAATTTAATATGCATATGATAAATGTGAAAATGTAACAAAGGAAACGCTTGCAATGGCAACATAATTAAAGTAAATTTATACTGCCCGATGCGTATTGTTTTTAATCAAATATAATTACACGGCCTGCATATTTCATTAATTAACTGAAGGCGACAGGGCGTGGCCACCGCCCACCCCTCACCCATCCCCCGCTACTCGACAGCTGTCAACGCTGCCAATGACCCATATACATAGTATATGTATATGTATATATATACTCTCTTCCATTTGGCCAGAAGGGAACAGGATTCAGTTGCTGGAAGTGTTGCGCAGCGCCTCGATTTTATTATACCCTGAACCCATTAAAAATGGGTAAAGAGGGTATAATGTATTTGTGCAAATGTATGTAACAGGCAGATGGAAGCATCTCCGATCGCATAAAGTATATATATTCTTGATCAGCATCAATAGCCGAGTCGATCTAGCCATGTCCGTCCGTCTGTCCGTCCATCCCTCTGCCCGACCGTCCGTCCGTCCGTCTGTCCGTATGTATGAACGCAAGGATCTCATAACCTATAAGAGCTAGAGACTTGAAATTTTGGCTGTAGGTCCTCCTAGTGCCCGCGCAGATCGATTTTGTTTCCTATATTCGATAACTAGCACCGTTTCCAAGTAATCGATAAAAATCGATATCGAAATCCTGTTTTTTGAGCAAATTGGGTAAATAAAAAGAGCTAAAATCAGCAAACTTGACATTTAGCTTCTAGAATAGTATATACATATATATCAAGTATCTTTCATTTTATACCTATCGCCAGTAAAAAGAAAAAGAGGGTTCAGGGTATCCCCTAGTCGGGAGCTCCCGACTAGAAACTCTTACTTGGTATTGCCCGCGGGAGGGCGGCGACGCACTTTTTAATGGAAATTATAATGAGGCGATCTGGTTTAATTATGCATCGCGAATCCAGGCTGGTCCGGCTGGCAATCTGTCCGGTCACGCCCAGGCACTCACAACTTAATGCCCCATCAACGTGACATGCTTTGGCTGCTTAACCCACTGTTGCCCGCCGTAAAATGCTCACTCGTTGCATTTTTCCCTTGACCCACGCGGCGTATACGCAACGTGCACCTTGACACTAATTACAGCTAAAAAATATATATACTATATATAGCTTGTGGCAGTCCTGAGCCAGGTGCTCACCTTGGCTGCCCCCCCGCCAACAAATGCCTTATTGTTGTGGCTAGCTAAAGTCAAGATGTAATTCCTGCGGGGGCGTGGCCAACTTCTTGCTTACGTCAAGCTTTGACATTGCACTCCAACATCCCCTGCGGTATTCAGCAGCAGCTTCCAACGGATTCATTTTTTAGAGTTGTTGTTTCTAGTTTCAAGTAAAAATATCTTGGTCAAAATTTTAAATACAATTTATTTGTACATTAGAAAAATGTTTTTGCTTAAGATTATGATCCCTAATCATTTTTAGCCACATAAATACTTAGCTATCTTTTATAACATTTTATAACTTGACAGTAAACCTTTCTCGGCCAACATTTACAATTTTTCTTATATCGGTTTTTTTTTTGGAATCTAATATATTGTGGATGGATTTCAAGTATACCATAATCCAAAGCAGGGTATTTTGAATGTAGAAATATACGAACTTGGAAACAAAGTAAAGCTGAAATCATCATAAAATAGATAGATGAGGATTATTATAAATGACAGTTTCAGGGGCTACGACTGTCAGCATGGCCGAGTTGTAGTAGGGAAGTCACATTATGAATGGCATGCATTCACAGAGGCATACAGGTCCCATGTATGTTAACTATTATGTTAAGCAATACTGTTAAGAAGATTCAGTCACATTATGAATGGCATGCATTCACAGAGGTATACAGGTCCCATGAATGTTAACTATTATGTTAAGCAATACTGTTAAGAAGATTCAGTCTGTAAAAAGCGCTTCACATATAAATAACAGTGTGACTAAAGAAAGCATACTTACAGATATACTTAATTTAATAAATAAACCTAAAAAAACTTAATCACTTTCTCACAGTATCAATATAATATGATTTTAATTAATAGTTAACATAAACAAAAATCTCAAAATGAAGTAAATCGAAAAGGAATTTTACTTTTATAAAAATACTTTTATTTTTAGTAAAAAGTTTTCTTTTTTGATTTCCTCAGAGTTATCTCTATTATTAATATGAGTTATTTTTATACTTCCATCGAAATGTTCACATTTTGTTAATACTAACAGAATAATTTTGATCTATATATTCTATTTTACGTCAGGCATACTCGTCAATTAAACATATGATCATATTCCAATTATATATTAAGACATTCATGTTTTCTAACGACTATCCACATGACTTCAAATCCGAACTCCTTCTCGAAGGAGCACTGCAAAATTGATAGTATATTTGCGCAATTTACACAGCGCAAAAGTCAATGCTGACGTATTTTTGTGTGCGCTGTCCCAAGAAATATTCTATAATTAATTAAGAACTTGCCCAGATTAAAAAGAAATCTGAGCCCAGCTTTGCCCTTTAGCAAGTCTCCTTAGTAATTAACGAGAAAGAAGGACTATCTTCGGCACGCCGAAGATTTGATACCCTTGCAGAGCCAACCTTTTCATAATGCTCATAACGCATTGCCCGTATCTAAAAGGATAGGGAAAACAATTAAAGCACAGTATGGTCATGATATCTTGAAAAACAAAAAAGTTTTCCATGCAACAACTTAATTTTCGACCGATCGTTCCTATGGCAGCTATGCGATATAGTGGTCCGATGTTAGTAAGATTTTGCACAAATGTAGGGAACACAGTGAAACTTATAAATGGTGAGTTTCGTCAACATATCTTGAAAAACAAAAAAGTTTTCCATACAACTTAATTTTCGACCGATCGTTCCTATGGCAGCTCTATGATATAGTGGTCCGATGTTGATAGGATTTTGCAAATATGTTTGGAGCATAGTTAAACTAATAAATCCCGAATTTGGTCAAGATATCTTGATAAACAAATAAGTTTTTCATACAAGAACCTAATTTCCGACCAATCATTCCTATGGCAGCTCAATGATTTAGTGGTCCGATCCTGCCGGCTCCGACATATGTGCTGAGTGACAAAGAAAGAGGGTCATATGAGAGACTAGTTTGCCTAGAAATAGACAGACGGACAAATGGACTGACGGACATAGCTTTATCGGACTGTTGATACTGATCAAAAATCTATATACCTTATGGTGTCGGAGAAGTCTCCTTCTATGCGTTACATATTTCGAGATAAAACTATAATACCCTCTGCAAGGGTATAAAAATAGGTATATTTAGCTTTTCTTTTTTTCGAGTTATATTGAAAAATCGATACTTATTAATATATTTTGGGAATGGGAAAGGCAATATTTGTTCTGCGTTTGATATACGAATATTTCAAGACTCTAGCTTTTGTACTTTCCATACACATGACAGACTCGGCTATCGTTAATAAGCTCGTCAGTCTGATCATGAATATATATATATATATATATATATATATATATATATTCTTTATGCGCTCGGGGAGACAGAGGGGAGCATTGTCTGTTGTATACATTTGCACAAAACTTTTAAACATTTTCAACGGGCTCAGATTAAAATGATTATGGCTTTTGAGATAATTAACGATTAACAATGTTTTTAAAAAAAAAATGTAGATAAATGTTGAGTAGAGCAAAAAAAAGGAGGATATTTATCTGTGAATGATAGTTGTCGACATTTTTTTATAATTGCGAAAATAATAATTAAAATATAAAGCAAAATTGTTCCCAAGTGAAAAACTATGAGTAAAAGTATCTAATAACTTATTACAATAGTTAATAATAACAAATGATGCCCGGATATCTAATATTTTCTAATTATTTTAAGTACACCGAGTAACTTTCAGAAACTTAGGACCGTAGAAGTTTTAATTATTTGCTTTCAGTTGAGAGAAGTTTTGCTACTAATTGAAGTTCAAAAGAAGGATTAAATGGACTGCTTAAATAAATTAGTTAAGTTCTCTGACTTTCCAGTTATAAAACGCAGCCAAGAATAAGAATCATCAGATTACAAATTATATTAAATAACATAAGTAAATAACTGAGATTCAGGCAAAATATTTAAAAAGCTATTTGTGTCCATATAAGAAATTGTGCAGCAGAAATATTTTGTTTTCGCTTTGCTCTAAGCTTCTGGCACTGGGAATTCCACAAATTGTAATGATAATTATTTAAGGAAAATTACATAGATTCTCATTAAAAAATGTTTGCCAAGGCATTCGCTCCCGTTTTGATTATCATTTTTGGGCGAACATTTTCCTTGGAAGGAAACATTTGGCATTTTTCTGTTGTTTCTGTTGTTGTTGTTACATTCAGAAGGCAAACAAACAGAGGAGTCGAGCGTTTGGCTGGGATAATATATAAAATATCTACATGGCACTGTCGCAGACTGCCTGCACCTAGACAGAACACACACACACACACACACATATATATACACACGCATAGGACATACAGAGGAGAGAACGTGCCGGCACACTCACAAATTTCCATTTATTTTGCCTTTGACATTTGAATTTTTAATGAAATTCCAAACATTTTAACGCTCGCATCTCACAAACAGGCTTTTTGTTTTGCTTTCTATCGTTGCAGCTGCTGTCGACATAGAGTGCGAAGGGTCGAAGGACGAAGGGTCGAAGGACGAAGGACGAGGGACGAGGGACAATCGCAATCAGAACGCTGCGCCGGCCGGCGGCGGCCGCTAATGAAGATGAAGTGATACCCAGTGATATCGTGTTAAAGTAGAATTAAATAGAATATAAATCGCTGGAAAAATGACAGCGATTTCTCAGCACCAGCCGAGCAGAACAAATGCTAAGTAGTTTGCCAGCACGGACTAGCGACAACAACAACAACGACAACAACAACAACAGCAACAAGGGCAACTCGAGCTTGAACCGGAACAGGAACAGGAATCGCCCCAAGCAAGCCGGGCAATTTGTAAGCCGGCTCGGCAATTTCACGCATCGCGGCGGTATGGCAGGCGCTAATAAGGCGACCAGCCACGCCCCCCACAATTGTACAGTTGCCAAAAAGATGCCCACTCTCAACTAGGTTCAAGTGCGCAACAACCAACAGCAACTGAGCGACAGACCAGCGCCCCACACAAGGATCCACGAAGGACGACGTGAAATATTATGGCAACTTTTCAAATGGAAACGCGCCAGCAGCAAAAGCGGCAGCAAAAGCGGCAGCCGCAACAAACGAATTTAAAACAACGACAAAGACAACGTTCCACAGATCCAGAACCGGCAACGAATTCGAATTCGAATCGGGCAGGCGAACGGGCAGGCGAACGGGCAGGGGAGACATTCACAAATTGCACACGGCTGTGGCCCACCTGCTCGACGGTCGCCGTGGAGTGCAGCAGCAGCAGCGGCAGCAGCAGCGGCAGCTGCCAGCGGGCCCTGATAATGCTCAGCATGCTCGTGGTTGTCATCGTTGTGATATCCGGCAATGGCGGTAAGTGACAGTCGAACTTATGCTCATTCACATTCACATTCCGATTCACATTCCCATTCGCATTCGCATTCTCATTTTCCTACGAAAGTCGGCCCCTTTTTAATCAAATTTCGTGGCCCCATTTGCCGTTTCGCACAGGCAAATTGCAATTGTTGTCAAATTGATTTGACCAATTTCATTTATTGATTTCCATTTTCGGTATCATTCATTTCGCTGTCATGCCCAATGACTCAGCGGCGACTCAGTAAAAGAAAATAGAAATCAGCTCTGCCAACTTGGCATTTTTCAAATGTTTTCGCTTTGGCCTTACATAATTCTTGTTGTCGGCTTTTTTTTTTGCCGCTGCGTTTTTAGGTTAGGTAATTAATTTTGTGCGCCCGTAAAGTCTGGGGAAATCAATGTTTCGGCCAGCACGGGCCCAGGACAGGCCCAGTACAGGGCCATGCCCACGCCTTGCTGCCAGTAGTTGGGCGTATATCAAAATCCCCAGCGATTTTCATGCCCTGATTGAGTGGATGTGAGCCAAACCGTGAGTATCTGCATGAGTAACTGCAGCAGCACAGTCCGTCTGTGTGTGTGTGTGTGTGTGTGTGTGTGAGGGTGTGTGTGAGTGTGGTTGGCCTTTCGTTTCACTTTCATTTTTCACATGCCGTGTGCTCGCTTAATGACGAGCCTGCCTCTGGGCTTTGATAGTGGGCCATATGATCATTAGTCCTTAATGAACTGGCAGGTACAATGGAGTATTAATCAGATTACATGATTAAATTATATTAATTGTTGAATATCTGTTATATTTCAGTTTTAAATGCAAAGCAGGCTTTTGATTAAATAGTACAAATAGATTACCAGATTACAGAGGCCTTCGAAATTCGATATACTCCTTTCTAATGGAAATTCGGAAACAATGGAGGCTTTGATACGTTAACCCATGTGTAATATGTTAACCCAATTTGATATGTTAATTGGATTGGATTGGATTCAGTTTTAGATTGAAAATTCTTATAGATTTTTGGATAAAACCCAATAATGATATTATATAGTTCTTCGAACTCTATGTCAAGTTGGGCTATAAAGTTGACTAGTATCCTCTTATCAACTTTCCAAAATGGCGTCTTATAAGACAGCAGGGGTGTTCCGGCAGGGGTCTTCCGGCAGGGGTCTTCCGTCATGTCTCTGCCGACAAGTTCTTCCCATGTAGTATTTTTGCCTTTCTATATATTTATATTTAAAACTTAGTTATGCCTTTTTTTGTTATTACATTCCCATTTATTGTCTTTGAATATTTAAAACTTGGTGAAAAATTGTTCTAGAATTTTGTGAACTTGGCCAACCTAAAGTACAGCACAGACCAACTTTTTGAAGTCGAACAAATGCCACAAAATATGTTGGCAACAGTTTTGTCATCTGCCAAGAGTCGGGAACCCCAATCAAGCTGAAAATAAATAAATAACTAAAGAAAAAAATCAAGCAAAATAAGTTGAACGTACAAATATTCAAATAACAGACAGCACGCGACTTTTCTCATTTCATTTAGCGCATACTTTGCACAATTTTATGTTACCAACAAAAGCGACAACAACAATAAAAGCTCCGCATTCGCATTCGCATTCGCATTCGCATCCGCACAAGCGCAATACCTTTAAATATTTAAATAAGTTTCTTCGCTTGCGTTGTGTTTGGCTGACGTGTGCACAAACCGAACAACAACGAATTCTAAATTTTTGAGTGAATTTAAAAATTTAAAAGTTTTTGAGACGTCATTTCGGCTAAGACAGCAACGCCCACACACTCACACACACATACACACAGACTTGCGTACACGTTTCACGTACACACGCGCACACACACACACACAGGCGAACAAGAAAGTGTGCAAAAGTTTTGACATTTCAAATGTTTCTGACAACAACAGCGCCATGTTAATAATAACAGTGCGGGAGTAACAACAACAACAACAGCAACAACAATCTAAATTACAACAGCAACAACAACAACAGCAGTAACGGGAACAAGCAAAAGAAAAAGAACAGCAACAGGAACATGCCCTGCGGTCGGCTCTTGTTCAGAGCCGACGCTGACGCAGACGCTGACGCTGACACTGACGTCGACGTCGTAACGACCCGGCATATGACTTTTTGATTTCTGCAGGGCGCTTTTTAGCAAGTATATTGAAGCTCTAATTTATGTTGTTGTTGTTGTTGTGGTTGCTGTTCTTGCTGTTGTTGTCATTACCGTTGCGGTTGCCGAATCCCAAGCAGTCAATTTATTTTAATTTCTAGCCAGCGGCTCTTTATTTATCATGTTGTTTTTTCCAGACAGACACCATCCTGAAGCGGGTGTACCACCGGTAGGAGGGGGGGGGGGGGGTGGGGTCAGTAGGTGCCGTCTGAGACTGACGGCCAAAGCCAGTCGGGATTTGAGCATTGCTGCAACTGATTAGCAACATTGCTTGCCTTGGCAATTGACCAGCGAACGGGAAAATCAACGTAGACGTAGACGCACAGACGCAGAGACGCACGCTGCGTTCGCTGGTTATTGCTATTGCTATACTCTGTAACTTAAGAGAAAAAGAGTATATTAGTTTGTCTGTTTGAAGAGAATTTAAATATCGAGACAATTTTCGGTCACAACAAATCTCCAAAATATAAATATTTCGCAGTCTTCAAGCTAGAACATTGGCAAATTACACTAGATAACAAAAAACGTGTTTTACTTATCCAGATCAGCGTAGATTACCTAGTACTTTATTTACTAAAAATGAAAAAATAGTTTTTTGAGGTGTTTTTCGTGTTTATCCTTTCGTAAAAATATAAACCAATATATTATTCATCAACGACTTTCGTCTTACATTTTTTCGTTGTTATTTTAGGAGAAAACATTTTTTTTAAACAACACTGCTACAATTCTAGTTTTTTATTTTCGGCATGGCGAAGCTACTATTTTCTTTTATAAGGGTCCAAAAAAATAAAATTTTTATATGCATATATTTTTAAAAATAATATTTTGTTTACCGCTTTTTGTTTCTAACGAGCTGAAATTTAACTGCGAATATAAATAGCTGAATAATTTTTTTTATTTTTTAACAATTACCATTTTTAAAATGTTTATTCACGTATTTATCTGTTTCCGAGGATTTTGACACTTCGGCTTGAATATCTGGAAATGTAGCTTGTGAAAAATAAAATGGGTTTTTTTTTATAAGTAGCCATCCCAAATTAAGCCGCAAAACATGTCGAGGTACCCTTTTTCGTGAGCTAGTGTAATTTATGATTTCTCTTTAAAGATCAAGTCAAGGTTTTCTATAGTCATAAAATCTCAGTTTGAAAGAGACCGTCTTTGGGTTACGTCTTTAGCCTTATCGACCACATAAACGTACTTAATCGTAGATATTGCGAGTATATAGAGTATTGCGCAGTCAGGCATTCCAATCGAAACATTTTAGCTGGGTTGTTGTTGTTCGCTGTGACGGGCTGCTGCTGCTGCTGTCAATACAACTAGTGCCACAAACAGCAGCAAGGATATGCGTCTTATCTGCCAAAAGCACGACCAGGGGGGGGGGGCGGGGTGGCTAACAACGCAACAAACGAGCTAGATAAGTTGTGTGCGCGTGCGAGTGTCTGTGTGTGTGTGTGTGTGTGTGGCCGACAGTCTTGGGCCAACGTGCACAACATGTTTAATCTAATAAAGTCGCTGGCTGCCAACTATAAAACGGTCGCCAGTGCCATAAAAAGGCTGGGCGTAATAAGCGAATCAAGTGCCCAGGCCTCACACACACACACGCACACTTGAGATAGGAAAACAAATAAACACACACACACACTCGCACACACTCAGAAACATGTGTATGTGTCTTAAGCAGACGTATCGGCGTCGTCCTTGCTGCTCGCTGCTAAGTGATGGGATAAATGGCGCTGGATAAAAATTGGTCGTAACTGCAACAACAGCCAACAGCTACCGAGTGGGTTTCGCTATAGCCAAGCTTTGCTGTAGTTGTCCGTGGCAAAAACATGAAAATTTGATAAACGCAAAACATAAAAAGAAAAAAATACGCCACAACGAAACTTTATGTCCCATATGCGCTATGCGCACAACAAAGTCAGAGTACGTGTGCGAGAGTGTGTGTGTGCGAGAGTGTGTTTGTGTGAGTGTGTGTGTGAGTGTGTGTTTGTGTGGGTGTTAGTGTGCGGCTGTTTGTGTGCGTAATTTGCTAATTACCTAAATGGTTGCAAGGTATTCGAGCCAAAACTCGTTGAGTATGCGTGTGTGTGTGTGTGTTCGTGTGTGTGTGTGTGTGTTAGCGTGTTTGTGTTATCGATGGAAAGCAAACAATGTGCTGCATTCTGGCTTAAACGCAAAAAGTTGAACATGTGCTTTTTGGACGGGGCTAAAAAGTTGAAAACCCAGTTAAGGCTTTTATGGCGCAAATTGAACTAATTGAACAATTATGGCAACGATATTGCATATGCGAAGGTGCCCATTTAAGTTTTGTAATTAGATTTTTGCGGATTGACAGCCCGTTCGCCTGTTTACAGCAACCATTCCATTATGGGGCCATTTCAGAAAGTTAGACCCTCAGTTCATATAAGTGCTTAATATCTTTGTTAATTTTCTGGCCATAAAAGCTTTTTTGCGTGGGTTTGGGCCATATTTAAAGGGGTTAACAATTACTTTTTTCTGCTTTTACGTTAAAATAATAGTTTATTTGTGACATTGTTTAGCTTGCGACTTTAACGAATAGATTTAAATGGGAAATAAAAAGATTATTTATTTTATTTTAGGGTTTAGAGCGTTAAATATAAAATTTCTTTTGAACAGTTTGTTTGTTTGGCATTGTGAAACGGGCTTAAAATTGTTTGTATATTTTTAAATAATTAATTATATATGCTACATTTCTCTATAAATGCTTAATGAAAAGTTATTTATGTTAATTTAAGGTTTTTGGCATTGTGCGACGGGCTTACATTTTTTTTGTATATTTTTAATTAAATAAAGAAATATTCTGCCTTTATGCGCATGTACCAAAAGTCATCCAAAATAAGTTCGGATATGTTTGGAAATCTCCAAAGATGCGATTTTTACTTTTCCTTTATTATTTGACAGAACTGAAATGATTCTGGCTGCGCATATGTTGAAATTGATTCGGAAATGGAAGCCAGAACATTTCCAAATATGAACCGGATGCAATTACAATAATGATTTCCTAAACAGATGCCATGCGAGCATGTATAGCAATAGAATGTGGAGAGACAATTGTTTGCAGTTTAAAATACAAATGGTAGAGAGAGAGGGGAGAGAGAGGGGAGGGGAGAGATGGTTGTGTCATACTTTAATTGCCAATTGAGTTGCTTGTATTCATTTGTTATTTGTGCTTTATCCTTTGCAGTGCTCGCCGCGCAGCGTGACGCGTATAAATCAAAGGATATGAGCAGCAGCAATAATGCCATACCGAATGAAGGCGACGCAGCTGCTGCTGCTGCTGCTGCCGCTGCTGCTGCAGATGGCAATGGTGTTGCCGGAAGCGGAAGCATGACCAGCACAACCAACAGCAACGGAAGCAACAGAAATGGCCATGCGACAGGCGCTGGCCAATCCCTGACAACCGACAGCAGCTCCAGCTCCGGCTCCGGCTCCAGCTCCAGCTCCAGCTCCGGCTCCAGCTCCAAGTTGAACTCTGGCTCCAGCATATCAACAACAACGGCAAGAAGCGGCATAGCCAGCAGTAGTCTGCACAGGGGCAACTCGATCGCATCGCTGGCCGCCGCCGCCGGCATCAATCGGAACAGCATCGATCTGGGCGAGGATTCGCGCAGCAGTGGACCCTACTTCGACAGGAACGCCTCGAAGAATGTCACCGCGCTGCTGGGCAAGACGGCCTACTTGAATTGTCGCGTCAAGAATCTGGGCAATAAAACTGTAAGCAAAGCCACAAAACTATACCCAACACCAGACACTCAAGCCGTCAGCTCTTGCAATTGTTATGTCATTATGTGCCATCAAAATGCCATTTGCAAAGCGTGTGTGTGTGCGTGTGTGTGTGTGTGTGTGTTACATTTCGTGTTTTTTAGCTAATTAGCACGTAAACTGCGCCCACATGGCGGCATTGGCTAATTGTTCCGCTGCCAAACAAAATGATTAATTATACTGAAACAGGAAACAGATTTTACTTTACTCAACTTCGTCGTGCTGTGTGTGTGTGTGTGTGTGTGTGTGCGGCAGGAAATGCCGCAAACATTTCACAAACACAATCTTCCACTTCCACTTCCCCTCTCCCTCTCCCTCGCACTGCCAGTCAATGCCACAACACATCCGGCCTAGGAGCTCAGCCAGCCAAACAAACCTGGCTAACTATTCAAATCGACTCCTGGGACGCTTTCCACACGGTAGCTCCACAAAAACCCCAAATAAAAAACAAACAAGTTAGCGTTCAGTAGTTGCTGTTGCCCGACTACGGGCTACCCTGTACTCAGAGAACTTCAACCTCCCATACATATATCCCAGTCAAAAATATATGCATAGGAACATAAGCCTCACTTTATGCCAAGGCTGTGTTTTTTAACCCTAGGCTCGCACCATGGGCAAGGCTTTCTTGCATAACTTCGGTATTTATAGTCCGATCACGTGGAAATAAACAGATTTTAAATATAATACCCAGATGTGTGTATATACCAAAGCGCAAGACTCCATTGGATTAAATTTTATTTCAGTTAGTTTTTATTTACATTTTTTGAGGATTGGGTGAGGTATCCAAAAAGTGAAATATATATTATCGAGGTACACTAATAGAACCTACCATTAATTCTTATAAACTTCAAAAATTGCTTAAAAAACTTCAGACAAAATCTATATATATGGATGTTGTAAAAATGAATATGGAACAATATACGATATACGATATAAATTTCAGGTCCCATATAGTTCTTGAGATAAACAAATATATACAGACAGATGAACATAACTGGATCGAGTACATAAAGAAGGCCTGAATAATAATATGCATATATATGAATAATAATATAGATAATAATATGCATATACTTAATAGGGTCGGACGTGCTGCCTTCTGCCTGTTACATAAATTAGCCTCAACTAATATACCCACTCTTAAATCTATTTGCAGCGTATAAATATATGCAAACGCTTTCGTTTTGTTTGTTTTTTTTGTATGTGCTCTGGGATTTGTGTTTTTTTTGTTGCTATTTTTTTTGGGTTTTAGTTTTGCAACCTGCGCCGTAGTCATTCGGTTTCCGTTGCTTCCGCCGCCGTCGGCCCGGGCTCATTTTCCGATAATAATATGTTAGATGTCGGCATGGCAGTCGCCGGGCCCAAAATGGGCTCCACCTGCACTTGCGTTTGGGTTCGGCTGGCATAGACGTTGCCTTTGCGGTTTCGAAAACTAATTTGCGTGATTATTAAATTCGAGTAGCTGGCTCAGAGCGCCCCCCGTTCCGGCCTGTCTGCCATTTGGGGGGGAGGCGTGAAAAGTTTTTAGGCCCTGCGCTAGATAGTTTTCAGCACACGAGGATTTGGGTCAGGTTTTGGAACTTGGAACTGTTGGCAACTTCATTAGATGCCAATTAGTTGGCCAACTTCATCGATCATCGGCAGACAACCGCCGAGTTAATTAACGATTCTTTGTGCTTTGCACACTCTATTATTTATGGATTGCCACCGGCTACGAATTAATCGATTTCAGACAGTCCATGTGGACAGTTAATAAATAAAATATTATTAAGACTGGCATACGTTTGCTTTGATATCAAATTTTATTTAATTTGGCATTTTAATTTAATTTAATATATAAAAGATAAGTTGTAGAAGTTGGCTATAATAGTAATATTACCGATAGAAAGACTTTCAGATAATATTACATTAATCTTACTAACCTCAGACCTCAGACTAACTGTTATTAAATCGAATATGTATAATTAAGTATAGCTACTTATTCATTTTTCTTTTAAAAGCAAGACGCAGCCAATAAGCTTAAGTACAGGCAGAAACCTTTCCTTATATGCATATGATATACATATATATCTCTGATAATTTTTCACACAATTTCCAAGGTTTTTCGCAACCGTAAAGGCACATTAATATTTTGCGCTGTCAGCTGACAGTCTAATTAGCTTTTACCTTGTGGCATGCCACAAGCCTAAAATTGAACTTTTAAACTCAATTTCCATTTCTCTCCGAAAAACCCCAATCCACCCGGCTCCCGCCCCCCCGAAACATGCCAATGAAGTAATACATCATTGCAGCTGAGATTTACCAAGAACTGGGCAAAACTTAAGCCAGTCAACAGATAAAAAAAAAAAAATCTGAGGTCTTGAGCTATGTTAAACGGCGAAACGGATGTTTATGTTTCTACATTATTAATGGCGTTTTTCATTAGAGTCGCAGTCGGAGTCGACGCATTTTACGGCTGATGCTGATAGCAGCATGCGAGCGGTAATGAGTTTAAATGGGGCGTGGCAGCCAGCCCCAAAAACAAAACAAAAATAAAGCGCTTCTAAATAATTCAAAGAAAAAGTTTAAGCGTGTAATAATAATAGACTATGCACAGCTGTGCGACTTTGGGATACCCTGCATATATAGTAATATAATATAGTAATATATAATTTAATCATATATATTGAAGATTTTTCAATTACATTTTATTTAAAGTCAAGTGGGGAACCTTGATTGCAGCTGAAGCGAATATGCTTTGCTTTAACAATGCCAACAACAGGGTGTAAATTTACAAGCGTCTAACAAATTTTAAAGCATACTTTCGAGCGCGCTCTGCAAATTGAGCTATAAAAACGTCCAAAAGAAAAAAAAAGAGAAAAGAAATTGCCGTTGATGTTGTTTGCGGAGTGTATATTTTGGCTGGCATTGCAATCGATACACAAATTTTACGATACTGTAAACACGCATAATGCGCATAAACTTGGGCGAAAAGAGGGCGTGGCTGTCGAAGTCGCGGTCGTGGCGGCAGCTTGAGGGTTTGGGTGCAATGTGGCATGTGTCTTATAGCTGCTTAAGCATTTGGTGTTAATTACATGCAACTTTTGTTCAAGAGCCGGGCAAACTTTAGGCCTGGCACCGACGGCAGCAGCCATTACTTAGCTGTCCGTCGACGAGTTTCTTGTCCATTAACTTTGCCGTCGCTGTCGGTAGTCAGGCAGCATGTTGCCATTGAAATTGAAAATGGAAATGGAAATGGAAGTGCACACAGCTGACGTATGACACGCAAAGACGCCCCTAAATCACAGTCACTTAAAAATGTTGAGCTTAGACACACGTTAACAGCAGGTGGTTGCCAAACAGGTGTGCATTAGCGCGGGCGTGCCACTTGCCTCAAATTTGACTTGAGGCAGCAAAGTTGCCAGCGGCACGACACGGCACTCTGATAAGGGTGGGCAGCCAAAGCAACCCTCCAGCTGCTCTCTCTCTCTCTCTCTCTCTCTCATGTCACATGTGTTGCCCTGCGTCAAAGTTTGTTGTCTGTTCAAAACCCATATAAGACATTTCGAAACAAATTTGCATTTGCCGAACCCAATCTGTGGGGAAAGGAGACGCCTCAACGTCAAAGATTGCGCGTGAAATAGACTTTGTAAACTGTTTGCCCAATAAATTAAACTAAACATGCAAATTTTGCTTGCCTCGTTCGACAAATGAAATCTTTTCCCTTTTTGCCCAACTTTTGATTCAATTTCTTTCAGATGCTGCTGCAGGTCTCCTGGGTGCGGCATCGGGACATCCATTTGCTGACAGTCGGCCGATATACGTACACATCGGATCAGCGCTTTCGGGCCATACATCAGCCCCAAACCGAGGACTGGATGCTCCAAATTAAATACCCCCAGCACCGAGATTCGGGCATCTACGAGTGCCAAGTCTCAACCACGCCGCATATGAGCCACTACATCCACTTGACTGTTGTCGGTAAGTGTGTCGATTTCATTATCTAACTTTAAATTTAGGCAAATTTATGGGCGAATATTTCGACTTAAAAGTAAAACAGTGAAAGTGAGTCGAAAATGTGACTTCAGCTTTTAAGTTCTCGACGAGCTATTAGGACAATTAAGACGAGTTTCAGCTTGGTTTCAGATTCCAATCTGTGGCTGGGGAAGAGATAATGCGACGTAGCAGCAAAGGAGCAATTCCGATAAGATACTTTTTCGCTGAAATTTAGGAATAATAAGGCTTTTATCTGCAGAGTTTTTCAAGATATCTTGGTTTTCGATATGGTACTCAGATGTTGACAATATATATTGAATATATTTATGTGAGGATGTTGGAATTGATAAATGTCAAGAAATCATAAAAAGTACATTTTTTTCGTACAAGAACTTAATTGTTGACTGATAGTTAATTAATTAATAGTTAATTGAAAGGAGCATAGTTAAGCTAATAAATGTCAAGTTCCAGTTGGTTTTCAATATGGTATTCATATATTGACAAGATATTGCTTACATGCAAGTAAGGATGTTGAAATTCACAAATCTCAAGACATCATAAAAAGTACAACATCTTCTCATACAACTAACTTGTTGACCGATAGTTCTTATGCTATAGAGATCTTTAAGTGAAAGGAACATAGTTAAGCTAATAAATGTCAAGTTCGATCAATAGGTTTTCATACAAGAACTTTCTTTCGAGCCGAATCTATAGCTTCTACATAATATAGCGCTCTTCGATATTGATAAAGATTTTCCATATATGTAAGGAGCATATAAGTTAAGTTAGGATATCTTAGATTTCTCTCATACCATAATTTCATTTCCGACCGATCGCTCCTGTGGCAGCTATAAGATAAAGTGAAAGAATTCAGGTAAAGTTAGACATATGTAAAAATTGCAATAAAAAGACGCTAGGCAAACCAGGCTCGAGGAGAGGCGGACATTCTCTACATTTGGTATCAACGATTCAGAGTTGTTTAGCAGTAAGTGCCTGAAACTTCTACTAAAAACACAAGCGAGTTTGCCGAGAAAACTTTCGATTTTTTGAAACAAGCCTGATCTGTGTCTGCTAGGCCTGAAGGTCATTGATACCCTTTGTATCCACTTTTAATGGGTGCCTGGCATAATAAAGAAACAAGTAACAATTGCAGCAACTGATGTTTCGCATAAATACGCAATTAGTTAATGTAATTTGCTGAAAAATGTATCCGATCATATGTTAATTAATATTTGCACACATACAAACGTAACATGGATACACATAAACATGGAAAATAGTTTTTTTTAATAATTTCTGTGTATTTAAACCAATCTTTATTAATTTCGCAAAAAGGCAACATTCTTAAAATTGTGGCTGTAGTTCAAATTGGAAATTTTATTTTATTTTTTTTTGCCGGATTAGGATGCTGTATCGAATGTTTAATACATATTATCTGTGTATACTATATGAGTAGCTACGGCGGAAGGAGACAGACAGACATGGCCCAACCGACTCGACAAACTCATGATAGTAAAATTTATATACTTAAGTTACATTATTGCGCTTTTGTACTCGACATATTTACTTTTGGGCCCAATTTCATAAATGGCAGAGTAAACACATTCGATAATGGTTTTCCCACAAAGTAAGGCCGACAAATAATCAAGTTCAATATAATTAGAAAGAATATTGAAAGAGTTTAGTTATTAGTTGCCATAATTATTTTTCTGGGGCTTGTAATGATTCGCACTTGTACATAACATTATGGACACGGAATAATAATGATAGTTAACTACAAATGAAATATTTTGTGTGTACTCATAGTTTGTATAATATTCGACCTTTTATTATCCAAAAGAGGTTTCCTGTGTACCTAAGGCCGACTAGCAGGGTATTATACTTTTGTTATGAAACGTGTAACGCATAGAAGGATACATCTTTGCCCCCATTAGGTATATATATATATATTCTAGATCAGCATCAACAGCCGAGTTGATATATACATATATACAGCTATAGATATAGCATATATACGTGTTTCTGTTGCAGGCAGTACATATTTCGGAACCGTCCGGATCGGATCACTATATCATATAGATCAAGATATCTTGGCATTTACTATTCAAACTTTACCTCTTATACACGAGCTAAAAGTAACAAGGGTATTAAGTCTTCGGCGTGCCGAACTTAAACTTTCTTGCTCGTTGTTTTTTGAAAGCTTCTATCTTAATTTGGGAAAACAATTTGCTGTGCCTTTATTTCAATGATGATGAGCCGTGCATATAAAAATACCATTTACAAAAATGTAAGGTAAACTTTAAAAGTTGCTACTACGTCAAGGGAAAAGTTCGAGTGCTCGTTGGTCAGCGGGTGGAGAAGGGAGAGGGGGGGGGGAAGCAAAGGCAAAGGGTAGGAAAATCATGGAAAATCTTTTGAAATTGTTGCGCATTTAAATTACACTTGTATTTCTAATGAGGCAAGCTGCAAATTTGTATTTACCTAATTGCTATTTCATTTGGGCAAAAATTTACGTACCCGAAAAATCCCTTGAAGTGGGCCCATTTAATTGAAAGTGCCGATGATTGGGGTTCTATTGTAGCACGACTCGATTGCATTGTACTTAAACTAAAAACTTTTTGTTTTATTTATGTTGTGTTGCAGAGCCCTCAACGGAAATAATCGGCGCACCCGATTTGTATATAGAAAGCGGCTCGACCATAAATCTCACCTGTGTCATACTCAACTCACCGGAGCCGCCGGCCTATATCTTCTGGAATCACAACAACGCTGTAAGTGTAAGGTGTTTTTTATACTTATATATTCCCTATGTTTTTTTTGTCAATTTCGACGGGCAATTACATTTGGGGCATCATTAAATGATGAGGGATCTGAAGCGCTGCTTCAATTTAGTAACTTTTAAATTAGCTTTGCAATGGCAAGAGTTGTTCAACTTTTCTTTTTTTTTTTTTTTGGGGGGGATGCCCCCCCTATTTCGTTTTGTGTTTCTATTTTGTTGACTGCAAGAAAATGCTATTTAAGCACTATGCCAAGCGAGGGACCCCGAAAAACCCGTTGAGGCAAGGGTTTTAAATGGATTTTGGTTTCTCTCACGCTGCTGCTCCTCCAGCTGAAAATGCTGTTGTCAGTGGCATTCCGGGCGCTGTTAAAGCCACGTTTTAGTTTTCCATTTTAGGTGTTTTTCTTCATGCTTTTGGGACTTTAGTCACGGCCATGTTTTTTGGCTTATTGTATGGGGAATTCGAAAGGGTTCCTGCTGTGGCAGCCCTTCTATTGTTATGTATTTTCTATAGACCATAGCATGCTTTTAAGAAGGGTTGAGTACGGGCGAGAGTGAAAGTGAAAGTGGCACAGGGTTGGGAAGTTGCCATTAGTGCCAGTTTGGCCATGGGCAGATTTAATTTTATTGTTTTGCTTTTATTCGCAATCTTTTCTCCTTTGCCAGGCATAATTTATTCTTCTTATTTTTTGCCATGCTTTTAATTTTCCAGCTGCGTGCAACAGTGCGTATGCGTAATATGGGCACAAACAGCTTTATGACATAGAAAATGAATGTCGCATAAAATCAAACTCCATGCGGCATTGTAAAAGTCGTTCGCATACAAATTGCGATTGCTCCTTCCGCTCACTTGTCTATCATTCCCCCCTCTCTCTCTCTCTCTCCCTATGCCTCTCTCTTTCTTTCTGTTTTTTTATGCAATTCTCGTTACGTTCTCTTTGCAGATAATCAACTATGATTCGCCTCGGGGCGGCGTTTCGGTAGTCACCAACAAAGGTGAGACGACGACTTCGTTCCTTCTGATTAAATCAGCGCGTCCATCCGACTCCGGGCATTATCAATGTAATCCATCAAATGCAAAGCCCAAAAGCGTAACGGTACACGTGCTGAATGGTAAGTAAAATCAACGACAATCCAACACAAAATCCACAAGCCAACACAGAAGATAATATTCTACTTAGAATGAACAAAAAATCGCAAAAAAAATTAAGTATAATATATAAATGTACGTATGTAATTAACATTTATTGCCAAGCCGAAAACTGTATACCCTATTACAGGCAAGTGTTTTATTATTGTGTTCGAAATTTGCTAAAACTTTTCATTAAGTATTAAATGTTTATCGCATTTGTTGTCGTTAAATAATAATATTAATTAAATTTAATTTTGAATATTTTTTAGATTTTTTTTATTAATTTTTTTAATTTATTTATTTAATTTAATATATAATCCCAATTTGTATGGAATGCTTGACATATTATCTTTTCAACTTTTGTTTAAATGTTGGATGTACTGTTCTTCAGACTTTAAACAAGTTTACAAATTATTAATCTAGTATTTAACCTAAGATTTTGTTGACGTAAAAGTTGAAATCTATTTCTAATTCTTCTTTGGAATCATTAAAAGTATTTTTGAACTCAACATAGTTTAACAGTTGAGAGTTCAGTTAGGGCTGATAGACGGCAGCTATTTACGTGCCAATTTATATGCATATTATTATTTTTTAGTTTCACAATACTCTCTTTTACGCTAAGCTAACATTGTGCTAAAGTTTAACTACGCTGATAATAATATTTAACGCAAACGAAAAGCACAATGCACGAGAGCGAAACTTTGGCTTGATGGACAGGCGAATAAGTGGCAAGAGACTGACTTACTGCGTTGAGGGTAGTCCCGCCATCCCTAGATGAAGAATGCACAAAAACTTACGAAAAGTGCAGAGGCAAGGCGTGCTAATGAAGAAGCAGTCCAAAGGGCTAGGAAATACCACGGCCAACATTGCGGCGAATGCGGGCTTATGAATGCTTTGTGGCGAAAATCTGAATGCTTGAATGGCAGGGAATGAATCAAGAGGTGCTTTAAGTGATTCTCAGCCGGTTAAAATGCTGCAAAGATTAGTAAAAACTTTGCTTAATTATTGTAAGAAAAATGCACTTGAGTGAATGCCAGTGAAGTAATCCTTTTGAGGATGCTTGGCATAGTTTTTTTAACAAGTGTCAGAAAGAATGCAGTTGAGCTTTAAGCAAAAATCCATGAACTTTAATCTGAAAAGATTAACAAAGCTATAAACAATTTTAAATGGACAGTAAAAAAAGTAAGACTCAATAGTTCACTCTAGACTAAATTGAAAGAAAAGGAATTTTCCAACAAAATATTTGAGTGGGAATTTCTTAAAGCAGAAGCCCTTCCAGTGTCTATAAATGTTTGAATAGCTGTAGCTAAATTTCTTTAAAATGCGAAAAAGTGCCAAAGCTTCTCAACGAACTGTATCCCAAAGCAGGGCTCAGCCCGTCTTTGGGCAGCCATAGAAATGGCAGCTACAGGTAACACAAGCATTGACACTAAATAAACCAGGCCAAAAGGTGTCGAGTGCCAAAGGAGGGGAGAGCGTGCCCGCTGTGCTGGAAGTAACTCGACTATATATATTGTGTTTAAAGAGCGGAGAGAAAACGAAACAAAAAAGATAGAAAAACCCAACAAGTGAAGTTCACGCTTTTAACCGAAACGTGTGAAAGCACTGTGATAATATTGATCGGAAAATAGCTTCAACCAGCTGAGGGTCCTGGAATATGCTAATTGGGGGACGAATTTCTGATTGCTCTAACAATAGTTGGATATTCAATATTCGTCGCGCTAGCTGCAAAAGTGCTACAAGAAAATTAAAATTAGAATCAAAATTAAAATTAAAATCAAAATGAAAAGGAACAGTGAAAGAAAATACAGTTTTATGTTGCTCCCCCCTTCGAGTGCACAGCAGTTATCATTATGTTGGACTGTTAACAGACTAACAGAACTCCCAGCACTTAGCGCTGCCCCCCCGCCCCTCCCCGCGCACTCTGCTACACTCTTGATTTGCGGCCAGAGCTTTTCTTTTTTTTTGCTCTTGTTTTAGTGAACGCTGCGACATTTTCCCGCATATGAATGGAAATGGTGGGCGCGCGCGCGCGCGCTCGTGGCACATGGAAATTATGTTTATGTTGCGCTTGGTCTATGCTACACGCTACCCGCAGCGTGCCCCCGCTCCCCCCCCCCCCCCTCGCCATGTTTTGCTGCTGACTTTATGCTGCATGCCACTTCCTTTGCGACTTTCGCTAATGTCAAGTTGTCGTCGTCGTTGTCGCAACGGTGTCTGCTAGATAATGCCACAGCGCTGGCAGCACACACACACACACCCCCCCACACACACACACACACACACGCACACACATATAGCTGGGTGTACTCATCCCTGGCGCAATATTGTGCATGCAATGCGCGTTGTTTCCGTTAACTGCTTTGGCACACTTGTTTCTGATTATTATTATGTTTTGTCTCTTGTTCTGCTACTTTGCATTGTTCTTGTTGCCGTTGCCGCTGTTACATTTTGTTTTGTTGTTATTTTTATTATTATATGCCCGTCAACATTGTCTTGTTCTTGTTGTTCTTGTTGCTGTTGTTGTTGTTGTTGTAGTAGTTCTGCTATTGTTTTCGCCGTGTCTCCGTGCCAACAGCTTCGTTCACACACTTTGCGTCGGGCTTTGTCGCCCAATGACAGTTGCTTGTTTGCTTTTCGTTTCTCTCTTTCACTTCTTTTGCTTCACTTTTTTTTGCATTACTTGGCTTTTATTGTTTATTGTTAGCTGCCGCAAGGCCAGCAAGTGCGAGCGAGACGGCATGCTGGACGCGCAACGACAACATGAATTCCTAAAATTATGCGTTTGTGTTTGTTCTGCGTCGTGTTTCTTTCAATTTGAGTAAGAATTGTAAAGAGCGCGTGTTAAAGCAACTGTTAACGAAACAAATATATTTAGCTTTTTATTGTTTGAATTAGACATGAAGCTCAAGTGTGATCAGTCATTGCAAATACCTTAAAATAACTTAATACACAAACTTTACTCAGCATTTTTAATACATTATAAATTATATTAATAAATTATAAAATAATAATAGTTAAACTGCTTTTACATTAATTAGTGTGTTAATAATAATAAGCTAATCATTTTTGTTTTTAAAAATCTAGTATTTCACTAACGGTATTTATATTAAGTATTTAGTTTAAGTCTTCCAATCTAAAGTAAAAGATCAAATTGTAATCTTCCTATTTCTCACGGCAAATTCTCTTATTGGAATTTCGAATTTCCATTCATCAATTATATAGGAAAATCTTTGGATATTATAGGGTGTAATACTTAAATCACTTTAAGATTTAATATGATTTATAGTAGTTATATTATTGGTATTATTTGTATTTATTTTTTTTTTAATAGAAAAATAGGATGTAATACATTAAATTGATTACTTATTGGTATAATTTTAATTTAATTTAATATTTTTGAAAAATTAGATTGTCATTGTCGAATCGACATCTTCTAATTACTATTAGATGTGTGTGTGTGTGTGTAAGTGTAATGCAATAAAAGTCTTATAACGAGTACTCGAAATTGCCTATTTCTCCGTGTGCTTCTTCTTAAAGTAGTAAGTAATATCTACCGTTATGTACATAGCGTGAGTTATACTCCCCTTGAGTACGTTTCGCAGCACTGTACCCCAGATGCAACTCTGTTGCCTCAACTAAGTCGTAACTGTCATCGGTTTTGGTTTCTGGTTGCGTGTTTTCGTGCTTTATGTGTATTTTCCAGGGAATGTATGGGGATTTTGTTTGTATGTTGTATACATGTTGTTGCCCGTTTTTGGCTTTTGCAGCATATTTTACGACTTACTCGATTTTCTGTGCTTTTCTTTTTAAAGGATTTTTATTGTTTGGTGGCTGTTTTCGGGTTTCTTTACACCTTTGAGTGAGCTGATAATCTAGTTGGTGCTCTAGCCAGATTATGTGGCATTATGTCTATATAATAATCACCTGCGTTAAGCATTACCTGGCTCTTTTACCAACTGTATGAATAAAAAGCCAGAAGGACACGTGCTGAATACATAATAAAGAGTACTCAAACATACACGTACACATATTTTTACCGTTTTTATTTCACCCGATAATTGAGTATGAGAACAGCAATAAAGATGTAAATTAAACAGGTGTTTCTCATTCCGTTTCCAGGGGAGTTCCCAGCAGCAATGCAGCACGCGGCACCAGCACATCCTCCCATGTCTCCAAGTCGCTATCTCTTAGTGTACCTGTTTATATGCTACTGCAGTTTGGCATTTGTCAGGCACTCCATGCGGCCCTCCGTGCTGCAGCCGCGGCAGCGAAGTCGACCCTGCAGTTTCGACGCAGCAGCAGATGCACCCGACGAGGCAGCGGCAATGTGGCGGTATCTGGGTTGGGACACATCCTCCAGTGTATTTTAAGCCTGCTCTACTCGCTGCTGAGCGTCACATGGCGCTGGCATTGGCGGGGGCGTGGCCCCCCACAACAGCAACAACTGCAACAATCATCAACAGCAGCTGCAGGTGCAACTGCAACTGCAACTGCAATTGCAACAACAACGGCAACGTTTAGGCAAGTATATGAGGCAGACATAAGGTGAGCAGCAGCCATTCAGAATGAAAACGAAAGTAAATATATATAAAAAGAACAACACTCTCTTAGACTCTAGACTAATACTATAAAGTAAATTCACACACATACATATACATACACTTATATGATAACAACTTAGCCTAACTATCTCAAATATACACACACACACACACACACACACACACAAACACGACTACATACATAAGCTGTAACTATATAATAGTAACTACTATGTATAATCGATTGGCTATTCCGTTTTTCTATGATCCCGTGACGTATACGTAATAATTAACCCAAAAAAGAAAGCAAAGAATGGAAAAACCAAATACAGAGCCAAGTTGTCGCCTTTTCAAGTACAACTTTGTATCATATGGACAAACGGTTGGTTCTGTTGTCTAAGTTTTAGTTTCGAATCTTGTAAATAGGCAGAATCGCGCTTCTCAGCCCGCTAGTTGAGTGACGAAGTATTTGAATTATCTTTCAGGGAATTTCCCCCAAACGACAACTTCATAACTTTTTGATACATAACATTAATATATATATGGATGTGAGTGCAATAGCAAAAGAACATTCGCTAGAGACTTTAACGACACGAACACTGCTCAAAACCTCCTAAACATTTTCAAAACAAATATGAAAAACAATGGGAAAACAAGCTAAATGTTAAAATAAAAGCTACAAGTGTTTAGCGCTTTTCCAGATGCCATACTGTGACTATTCCCAATGCAAAAACTTATTTTATAAACTCAAAGAGGCGTCAAAATAAATGTTTAACGGCAAGAAACTCAACACACATTAAGCAACAAAATGAAAAAGAAAAACAAACTAAAACAAAATACAAAATAATCATAATAATTCGAAAAAAAAATCAAGTGAAAAATTTTCTAAATGTTAAACTTCAACTGCGCAGCAAAATTCAAGTACTGACTAAAGCATATACAATTTAAAAAAAAATATACACATTAAATAAAATATAATGAAAAAAAAAAAAAACACTGTAAAAACGATTTCACGACGGATGCAGCTAAAGTTAAACTTAGGAGAAATGTTTGTCTAGATGTTGAAGTCATTGTCGCAAACCAAAAGTAAAAGGCATTAAATCATAAGAATGATTCAGAAGATATATTTGAATATTCCTATCATAAGTTGCTTCATTTCCAAATTGTTTCCTGAATGTGTGTATAAATGGCATAAATATATATTATATATTTAAGCTTAATTGAGGTGCGATTGGGTTGGCAAATGGAGCTGAAGAACTGAGGATAGATTAAATATTGGTCGAATTCGTGTTGCACATTTCATGTTTTTCTTTGTTGTTAATTGATAAAAAAAAATATATATATAAAAATCCATAAGGCAAAATTAGACAAATATTATGAGAATAAAAATTGAAAACTGTTATTTAATACACCTGCAAAAGTATTATTAACACGAGTTTCAGTTTAGGTTTTGACAACTTAAAAGCGGTTTGCTGGACAATCTGTTGACAATTTTTCCATATTAACTTTCAGCCATTTCTGACTTTAATTTCAGGTGTTTTTTTAGTTAGTTAAGAATAGCTTGTCTTTACTCCCATTTCTTTTTGTTGTTGTTAATATTTGTTAAATTACAAATTCATAATTTTTGTTAATGTTTTCACTTCGAATTCCATTGAATGCAAGAAAATTGTTTTTCTATTTGCATTTAGATTTTGTCTAAAAACATGTATTTTAAAAAGATTAAGGCAAATCATTATATTATTATTATTATTTTTATTTATTACAATTTTAAGATTTTGAAATTGTGGATCTATTCAATTTGAGCGACTTTTGAACTTTAAACTTTTTGTTGCCAAAATTCAAATAAATATATTTGTTTTATATTGAAATGGTTTACATTTATTTTAGATTTATCTGAAAAAATATATAAGAAGGTTTTTCACTTAAGCTCACAATTAAAGGGTATAATAAATAATAAATTACCACCTTCTATATAGAGGTTTTGAGAAAATCGTTTCGTCATATATTGTTTGTTTTATTGAACACTTTTTACGACAAATTTTCACCTATCCACTTTCGACAAAATGTTGCCTCAGTAGCCATTTAAAATATTGGTTCCAAGTTTCAGATATTTTTAAAATCTGCCACGTTTTTAAGGCAATTTATACTTTTGGTTTCAGTTTCAGTTTGTACATTATTTTTTAAAATCTCAACAATACATATAATTCCATTGCAAGTCCTTAATCGTTTGTGATCAAAGGAGTTTTTTTGCAACTTATTCTTCTCTTTGCCAAAGGAATGACTATAAAGTTAACCTTTGCTAAAATGCATTTCCAACTAAGTTAGTTATTCTGCTGCCTTGTTTCACTTTGTAGGCGCTTTGAAAGCTGTTTGTTCAACAACGTACTTAATTTTACAATCAAGTCACCTTTGTCATAGCAAGTATATAGAAAAGTAAGCATACAAAAACTGTGCAACAGCATTTGCAATTAAAAACTAAAAAAAGAAAATTGAAAAAAAAAACCAATTAATTCAGTGTTTATATAAAGGTATATGCAATAAAACAAAAAATAATGAGAATAATAAACATTGAAAAAGTTTATAATGCTATCGATAGAAATAAATACAAAACTGGGAAATAAAGATAAAAAAAACAAAAAACGATAAACTAAAAAAGTTTCATTAAGCATGTTTAACAGCAACACAGCAACTATTCAACCCCAACTGCGACTCGCTCTCACAACAGTTTTCATTAGCTTTTCAACAACTTTAACAAACAGTACAACAAAGCCAACAGATACAAAAAAAAAAAGAAAAACTAACAAAAACTCATTCACATGAGATACAATACATTTTTGTATTTTTTTTTCAATTTGTTTAAATTTTTGTGGAATTTCATATCAAAGTAATTTTTTGCATTTAACAATATGAGCAAAGGCTGTTGAATAATAGACGCTGCTATCAATAAAAAATTAATATTTGCTCATATTAATTATTGCATATTTAAATCTTCTATTTTTTGTCCAAAAATTTCTTTAATATTTCGAATTATTTTCAAGCTTTCAAGCAAACATAACAAAACATTTCACTAACAATTTCCCAACACAAAAGTAAGTACGGCAAACTAGCTACATAAAAGTGACAAATTCTTAAGGTAATTAAGATCTAAGCTAATTAAAACGAAAACGAAACCGAAATAAAACTGCAGACAACTGACGTAAATATTGTATATGTAAATGTGTATTTATAATTATTAAAAAAAAAAACAAACAAACGCTATATATATATGTATACATACAGTATAGTCTATTTACTACAGAAAAACAAAATTGAATTAACGATGTTATTAAAGCTAAACTGAATTTGAAAGTAACTTTCAATTGAATACGAGAAAACCCCCAATAAAAGCAAAGTACGACAAAGCAAAATGAGGAAAACTAAATCATTTACGAATGTAAGAATTTAAAATGCAAAATCTTGTGAAAGTGCGAAAGAATAAGAGAAAAATATAACAGAAAACAAAAAATAAAAAGAAAAATACCTAAAGCATATTATGTCAACTGTTAATTAAGTTGTTTTAATGGCACAAATGGGTCATAAATAACGCGCGCGCGTGTGTGTGTGTGTGTAATTGTAAAAGAGTTTCAGCTCAACTATGAGGTAAATGCTAAGAAAACAAAAGCAAATCATTTTTCACGGCTGGACAGCCGAACAAAAGCCGCACAGCTGTGGGCGAGCCAAAGATCTGGCAGGGGCGATAAAATAATGAAACGAGATTAATCATACGCCCCGTGTAAGCATAATGAATGCACAGCAAAGCAATCGCTTACGTTAACATTCTGTTAACAACATGTTTCTACTCAGTTTGGATTCTGTCCTGCTGAAGCAGAAGCTTTGCCGTTACGCAACGCGTCTTTATGGTTTTTAATAAATATTAGCACATAGTTAAACACTTGAACGCACGCTGATGGAAAATCAATAAATATGCCAAGCGATGCGCCGTCGATATGGAGCGTCGCCTAATGGACGCTGCAAACTGTGCTACATAAAGTATATGTATATATATATATATATGTTATTGACGAAATGTTGCGCGTTCGTTCGCGGCATGCAGGCTTTCCGTACCAACACCATCAACATCATGCTCATCATCATCATCGGCAGAGCCATCCCGCATATCCATTAACAGCCGCGGGGGCGACCTGGCGACTTCATGCAAAACCACTCAAGGACAAGTGGGCAATAAGCGAAAAACTTTTATTGTTTTATGTCGAAAAGTTTTCTATATGTCCGTGTGTTGGTCGCCGTTGTTATTGTTTTGTGTCAAGTGCCGCCCGGCAGCCCGGCAGCATCGCATCCAGCCCTATCATCGTCGCATAATGTGCCATATATATTATGGCCAGAGGCCATATAATGCGCCATCCTATATGCATGGGCATCACAATCTCGCCATGCTTCGGTCCTTTAGCGTTTTCGAGTGCTGCACAAAATGCAATCGCCGTGCCGCAGCGCCCCATGTAAGAAACGGGCTTTCGGCCATAATACTCAATGGCTGCCGTGCAATCAAATGTAGGTGCTAATGATGGCCTGCTCATGAGGTCCTGTTGCGCAATGTGTGAACTGGAGCACGCGGTCTGCAGCTGTCCGAAAGCTGTGGCCTTTGATTTGCTTCGCTTGCAGCCCAATGATTATCAATGATTATTGATTTCGCATCGGCATTCAATCAACTGGTTGTTTGTTTCTCCCAGCATTCAGTCAATACGTAATCAGCTTTCAAATCGCATATAGACCGCTTTCCCCCATTGCAAAGCCGATTTCAGCGCGCAAACCTAATTGAAAGGATTGTCAGGGATTTGTGTTAGGTAATTAAGTTGCACCGATTGTTTAAATATTCGTCTATGCATATTTCATACAATTTGATGTACTTTTTAATTGGTATTATTGTTTGGGCTTTGCTCTAACAGAGGGCTGACACTGTGTTATCATTCAAATCTGGTCGTTTAACTAATCTGTACAATCAGATTCAACAAACATTGGCCTGCAACATACGTCATTGATTTTTACCAAAAATATTTCAATGTGATGCACATTTTGATGATATTTTTATTATGTAATATTCCATTTTTTTGCTCTATCGATTAGGCTTTAGCTTAAAGTTTTTAACAAATATAAGACAAAGAGTCAGGAAGCTTTCATTACATTTAAAGTTCTTTTTTTTTGGCATTAATTAATAGCATGATGTCTTCAAGTAACTTACATTAGAGGCACCAAATGACGCAAGTACCTTTTTTAAATATTTTGGTGTCAAATTTTGACAACCTGAACCGATTGAAAATGGGTATAATTGGGTTTTAGAAAGTTAATGTAAATGGGAGCAGGAAGCATCTTCGAAACAATAGAGTATATATTCCAGATCAGCATTGACATCGAATAACTTTTCTGTTTTTGTGAAAAGGATAAAAATCTAAGCCGAATTCATGCATTTGCAGCATATCTCGGTGCTAACGAGAGTGACTGATGCCATATTTGGTAAAGATGTCTACACTGCTCCAAAATATTACATTCTCTCGACTTCTGTCTTCCCCTAAACATGTAAAACTACTAAATGTCCTAGGTAGAGTCTTTGGTATTTACATACATCTAATGTATATACATATATATATAACGTACAAATTTTATGAATATCGGACAGCAAAAAACCAAAGTAAATCGCGCAAGCATTGCTAATAGTAATAATAATAGGGTACGTGTGCTTAGAAGGTAGCTAGAAAGTTTGTTAGGGTATCTCTTAGTCAGGCTTACCCGACTTTTCTCCTGTTTATTTACAAATTTGTCTTTTCTTTAATA